GTCAAAGACAAAGAAAAATAATATATACTAAGCCTAACTAAAATGGCTACACATATGTCAGTTTTGGGCTTGACAGGCTGCCCTTCCTCATTTGAAAAGAAACCCCCGCAATGACGTAAAATACAAAGATTGAAATTAGGTTAAACACAATCATACAATGCACATTTTAACCTCCTCTGCCCCCACAGAATTCATCTTAGACTTATGTGGATATTTTTCATGGAATTTTCCCACCAATCTATCAGCATTAACTTCCCAGCTATTAACCCAAGCGCTTATGAAATTGGATAACCTTTCCAATAAATTAAATATTGTAATTTCCCCCTGAAAATCCTAGAATCCAAAATTTTCTTAACCTCATAATGTTCATGCCCTGCAATGAGCAAAGGCTTCAGAACTACATGTTCTGCTGGCCTCTATGAAGAATCACCAACCTAAACAACTCTCCCTATCTCCACTCCATCCCCCTTAGGAATATGGCAAGCCCAAAACCCTTGCCCCATGACCGCCAAAGAGAAAGTAAGAAAAATAATATATACTAAGCCTAACTAAAATGGCTACACATATGTGAATTTTGGGCTTGACAACATGACCACCCAGCCATGCCTACCCAGCTGGCCATTAGGGCTGAAAACCAGTTGTTAAATTATTTGAATCCCACCACTGGCTTCTTCCCTCCCCCCCAACCCCAATTGTTTAATTAGTATAGCAAACAATATTACTGAAAATGCTATAAAGTATTTTATGTCACATTGTAGTAGTAATTACACTATTTTTGTAGCGATTCATTTTGTAACAGTTGTGCCAAATTATAAAAGTAGGGGGGAAAAAGGAAAAACTTAAAGTGCTTCATCCAAATAATAACTGCCTATCAGCAACCACCTTCCATTAGCACTCTAAGTTTGCTAATAAATATAAATAAGTAGATTTTATTTTGCTCAGTTTCTCATTTTTCTAATATTGTTCATTCTATACCCACATTTTTTTCCAGTCAACATAAAAATCCACATGCGGGTCCATGCACTTTTTAATATGTAAATGTTTGTATTCTCTTTTTATATTAACTCATTTTGGAAATAATTTTATGGCTGTTTTCCCTAAGTTCAAAAATGGTCCTACAACATTTTTATTTGTTCTATTAATTCAGAAAATGATTTTAAGTGGTTATTATTATGAGAGTATGAGAATTAACTTCCAACAAAAACTATGGATAACAAAACTCCAAATAAAGAAACCTTCGTTCAATGAAAATTGGGGAAAGTTAGGTGCCAACACCCATGGTCATCTTTTTTCTCCTACAATCTTTTGTAGCAGTTGTCTATGAAATATATCTTTATTTGCTTCTTCTGCCTTGGTCATGGCAGATCTTACTGGATCAGCCCAATCACAAGGCTTCTTATGGAAGCTGTTTTTCATTTTCATCTTTGCTCACAGTGGCATCACTGCTCTTTAAAGCTCTTTCATACCTGCAATGGAGGACTCTATCAATCATGCTGCTGGGCAGCAGTGCTGCCCTCAGACTGGGCTACAAGCAGGACTAGCATCCAAAAGTGTAACTGAAAGATCCACAGGGACATTTTACAAGGTATACAATTTCTAGGACAAAGTTAAGAGGTTCCTTTACTAACATAATGAAAGATGTACAAAAGCTATTATGAATAACATTGTGCAAATATTAAATGAGTCACTCCCCAAAAGCGACTAGGTAATCAGGCTAACTCAGAAGGATGCATCACAATCAGATTTGTGCAGGCAACCTAATCCTAGCCTTTAACCTAATCCTAACCCTAGCTCTTATACTTTACCCACACACAAAAGTCTACCTACTTTTGTGTGTGGGTAAAATCTACTTTGAATATTTGTGAAGTAAACAAAGCAAAAACTATTGATAACTATGTATAAACTTTTACATATATATTGCAGTCTGGTCATTATTACTCATAGACACATAAAACAACAGTTAACAAGATCATGAATAATGAAAGTGAACTATACGTTGATATATAATTCTAATTATGATCATGTAATAACAGTTCAAGAATTGTAAATTTTATTTATTTTTCAAATTTTTGAACTGTCGATCTCTCTCAGAAGTAAATTAGATAAATATATACAATTAATTCAATTGGTATCTCACCTATCCTTACATCTATCTGAGCACTATGACCTTTAAGGATAAAACATAGTCAAACCATATATATTTCTCAAATTGCACAAATCTATTAAATCAATCACTGAAAATACAATTGCAAGCACTATATTATACTGGGTATTTGAACATCATAAACTAATATTTTTTTCACGTTTTTCTCTTTTCATACTTTTTCTAGACATTCACAGAGAAAACTATATACCAGTTCCTGACTTCCTCCTAACATTCCTAGAAGTAGAGGAAACTTGTCAAAATTCTATTTTCTGTATATTTAATTTTTATTTAATCCAATTAAAACACTCTTTGTCTCCAAATCATCTGGACAGTTCACAATATAATAAAAAATAAAAATACAACAAATATCAAATAATAATGGGGTCCAGTCACTTGATATAAACATTTAGATAAAAACACATTCAATAAGGAGTTTCATCCACCCTAACCTAAGACATAGGAGAACAACTAGATCTCCAGGGCTTTACACAATGCCAGTTGTAAATCAGAGAGATTTCAGGGAAGATTTCATTCCAGAGGATGGGTGCCATAACGGTGGGTTATGATAGTTGGCATTGTTTAATTAAAGGAACTTGGATCATGCTAACTCTGCTGGAATGTACTAACCTAGCAGAAATTTTGGGATATATGGTCTCTCAAACCTGGCCCTATGTTTTGTTGAGCTTTATAGATGATGACCAACACCTTGAATTGTATCTTAGAAGGTTGGCAGCTGGTCCCAAAGATGCATTGCTTGGAGGTGCCTCCCAAAGGTGTCATGTATTCATACCAAGAAATGCTCTTCACTGTTCACTGTCCATTCTGAATTGGTTGAAGCTTCTGAGTGGTTTTTAAGGATATTACCACATAATGTGTTATGGCAGTCAAGCAGTGAAATGACTAGAGCATGGGTGACTGTCAGAAGGGCCTCCTGATGTAGAGAAAGGTGCAAATGGAACATTGGATGGACTTGTGCAAAGGCTGCCTGGCCATATCTGCCACCTATTCTTCAAGAAAGAACTCTGAATCCAAGAAGAGCCCCAGCTTCATTTGATATTAAACAGGAAGAGAAAGAATATTGAACTCTGGTGTAACCCACAAAAGATGGGAGGCCTAAGTAACAACCTATCTCCCCATCAACTTTGACTGGAACTGGCCATGGACGAAGAGAGAGAGAACTTTTGTAAAATGGTGGTTTCCAACCCTCACGGCTCATCCAGAAGGATACTGTGGTGATCGTATTGAAGCCACTGAGAGTTCAAGGAATACAAGGAGCAATGTACCCATTCCATCTATGCCTCAGGTCATCAACAAGGTCATCAGCGAAGCTGAATCTCGGGTCATCAGCAAAACTGAATCTCAGCCTGAACCTACCTAAAATGGCTTTAGATAATTTAAGTTATGCATGAAGAATTGGTTTTTGCTGCTCTCTACCAGTAGAGACATTGAACTAACTTGTGATTCTTGATTGTTGGAGGGATGGGAAGATGATGAGCTGCATAGCACAGCAGCTGTAAGCAAAAAATTTCAACAAATGCAAAATGCTCTGCAAAGTAATACATTTTTCTATTTTTGGAACTTTCTTCATTCTTAAGCCGTATTCCCTTTTCAAAAATGCAATGCATATATCATAATATTGTCCAGAAATAAATGTAGTTTGGATTTACAGGAGTACTGTGTTTAAAACTCATAATATAGTCATATTCTACAACTTGACAACTATTTAATGTCAAGTAACTACTTTCCTGCCTAACAGATACGGAAACTTAAGAAACAAAAAGCATGCTTGTGTTTGCCAATAAATTTATCATGCATTTATTCCCAATTTTAGAGCCTTGATCATACAGTCACCATCTTACGAAAAATCTTTCTATATGTTGTATAAACTGCAAACTCAATGAAGTAACCAAGTTTTCTAAAGATTCTAGTAAAACAAACATAATTTAAATGAGGCTGAACTACCACTGACCAATGCTTAACAATTGTAATATATAACTTTTATACATTTTAATTTGATTTCACCTCACACATAACAGGGAAATTGGGAACATTGTCAATTGATCACTAAATTTTATTTGAAACTTCTAGGATGATGATAAAGTCAGTTTTGAAAGTCAGATGTAATACCCAAGGTTGTCTATCAAATGCTATATCAACTAGGAAGGGAAGAAAACAAGATTGTATTTTGTATCTGCTTTTGTTTCAGATTAACAAAAACAACAACATAATATATTACTTTAATAAATGACACTCCCAAGTGGCTCTATATAGATATTCTCATAATAACAGACTGTTGGTGTGTTTTATACAATAGTGCAAGGAGATTGGCTTGGAAATAAGTTATAAAAAATAAAATGTTGAGTTGTACCAGAGATGAATTGCGGGCATGTAAATAGACAATTAAGTCGTTTTCAGATTTCAAACACTTATGGGTGTTTTTCCATATATATGATGGTAGGGAGACCACTCCTTTGTTGCCCAAAATAGTCAGAAGACGATAACTGCAATCATTTTTATGACCAGAAGAAGGTCATTATGTACAAGCAGCTTCAAATTATTTTTGGCCCTGAAAGAATTGTTCTTATCTCAAGAGAATTACTGACAACTTGAATAACATTCAAATAATTTCTGCTATTGCAAATGTAATTTTTCTTGTTTTTTTTTGCTTCTGAAAATAACTTGCAAACTTCTTCACTTCTTCAGTCTATCTTGAGATAATTAATCAGGATTCAATCTATAATTATTTAGCATGGGGTTAAATAGCATTTGTTAAGGACTATGTAATTTGAAATGTAATATTGTTACTTTTTAAATGCATTAAACATCTATCAATATTTTTTGTTGTTCATTTTAGGGAAGCAATGTTATGGAGGACCAGGATCTTTTGGAAATTGGAATACTTAATTCTGGACACAGGCAAAGAATTCTACAGGCAATTCAGCTTCTTCCAAAGGTATCCTTGTTGTTGTCACAATATCTGAATTCATTTAAAAAAATAAAATAAATGATAGTGTACAGTGATGCCACAATACTCAACTGCTTAAAAACTCATCAAGTTTGGTACTCAGCTCATTTTGATGTGAAAATGTTATCTCACTATATTTGTTGTTTGTTTGGCATTCAAGATGCTATGAAAGGAAAATGGATGATAGGGACTGCTGTAGAGGGTGGACAGGAAGTCAGCCATGTTGGGAAGAATTAGTCTTCATTGTAGGTTAATATATTACAAAGTTCAAAATAAATCTTACTGTGGATTTTGGTGTAGCTGTTTCACTGGGCCATTTTGATTTAAATATGGTTGCTGTTTGCTTGAGTTTTGGATTTTTAGACAGCCATATATTCACTTTTCTTCATTAAAATGACTTTTCTAAAATTATCTTTTAAGAGAATCATAATAATTCTGCACAGTTCTAGTAACAATCATTTTATTACTAGGCACATGATTTAATATTTTTGAGATTCAGTGAAGATGCATTTTCCCAAATATTGTTGCTGTGTATTTGCCCAGTGAATTCATCCAATAACTCATTTAGTATCATCATGTCTTGCTTTCTGATGTACAAATATTCTTTGTCCAGTCCACTGTTCCAAAAATATTAACTTTTCTATTGACCAATCTATGTGCAGTCTTAAACAAAGGAAGCATTTTTCATCCTATTCTACATGCTCCTCAGATTTCAGTAATTTTAGACTCTTTAGTTCAAATAAATAATGATTCATCAGATTTGCTGAAAATATTGTGATCTACTCAATATCTAGATGCATGATTTGCACATGAAGAAAGGCAGGACAGAAGTCACTCCTTACTTATGTGCACAAATCTAGCACCATCTGAGGGGGCGAAACGGAGGCATTAGCACACTTGGGAAACTTTTTTAAAAACAAAACACAAATTTTTAGAAAAGATTTTCAGAAATAGCCTTATAAATAGAATTTCCTGTAAATAGGCTGATATTGTTTCTAATTATCAGCTCTTGTATTTGTTGTTAACATTCTGAACTAGATGCAGCTTGTTCTGTGTTTCTACTGTCCTGGTTCTGCTGTTTTCCATTCATAATAATGTGTTCTGCTTTTAATAGCCTTTCTGTATTTTTAATATATATTTTAAGTAATTTTGTAATAATTTAAAAACTGCATTGCATATAATCTAACTATGTACCCAATGGTCTTTGCCACTAGATCTGTCAGACTGGGGATACTCTGAATCCCCAGTCTGAATCCCCAGTAAAGCAATAGGCCCCAGGAAGTCTGCCTTCTCTATCATGTTGCCCATCTTGTAGAACAACCTCTTCACAAGTTGTGGACAGCCCTAATCCTCTTGGCTTTCAGGAAGACCTGGCTCTCACCTGAGGCATTGAAGCCAGGATGTTAATGGGGCTGTGGTGGGCAATTGGTTTTGTTTGATATGCTGATGTTGTGACTTTTAGGGACCTCAACCCAGATGCTTTCAACTTGATTTCTATAGAGTGATGTTTTTAATTTTTTTTTCCTACCAAGAGTTCGCTTGGGTAGGTTTATTTGCCAGGAAAAGTAACACAAAGCTCTAAAATATTAATATTAATTAACATAGTCCATATGCCAATTAGTAGTTGTAACAAAATCCACCAAAGGCATAAAATGGTTTAAATATTCAAATGTAAACACAATAAAAGAATACCAAAGTTTAACATGACAAAAAGAAACCATTTTTCTTTTGCAAAAGACAAGCTACAGTATGCAACATTTTCCCATTCCAAATTCCAATTCAAAAGAAAAACCACCCCAAATAGCAATTTATCCTATTCAAATAAGCATTCCATAACTTTAAACTATAGACAAAGAAAATTAAATTTAGCTAGAAGATATAATTTCTCCTTTAAAAAGATCACCAAACTTCCTTACTTTGAATATAGACAGTTAATACAAAATCACTCTGCATATTATATAGCTAGAATACATAAAGTAATCATAGAGAAGAGAACTTGAAACATCTTATTAAGTATAAGCTATTCTAGCATGCCACATTTTTAAAGTTAAAGATATCTGCAAATCTAAAAAGAGCCAGCCAGAATACTATGTCCTATTTTATTCCTGGTTAAATAAGCTAACTTGTACTTTTTTTTTCTCCTATACAGAATAATCTTTACCTTTAATCCAGTCAGATGGTAGTGTAATCTTTGTTGGAAATTTTTTCAGTGCTTTAAACAATCTCTCTTGCAAATCCAACAAAAAGAAATTGTTCCAATTGACTGCTGGGATTGTCATGCCTATTTTCTTCCTAATTTTTAAAACCCTGTCAGTTTTCTCTTTGTATCTTAAAGCAAGTTCTTATTCAGTCATGTTTTCCTTGGGTAAATTTTGGGCATATTTTGTTCTGTAACATCTTATTCTGGGAACATACTGTTTCCAAAAAGAGGCAACATAGCTGACATAATTAATTCAAGATCCTGATGCTGGTCCTTGAAGATATTTTTGATCGATATTTTAAGTTACTTGTCTTATTGCATCCCACAAAGATGCAATTACTCTTTAACAATACTTTAAAAATCCAACATTCTGATGTTTTCTGAGCCCTTAATTCATTTAAAACTTTTCGCCCATCTGTTATTTTCCATATTCACCCTTGCTTACTGGAACATGGCTAGTTCCTTGGTTCAGTAACTTTGTGGTTTTGCACAATATTGTATTAAGCAAAGCTTTGGAGAATTGGGGGACTTCTGCTAAATATAAAAGTGCTTTATGTGTAATTTTTCTACTGCTACATAAGTGCTAGAGGCCACTGTAACTACATAGCCAAAAAGGCATTAAGAGTTGTTAACCTAATCCTACGTAGCTTTTTCTCTGGTAATATCACACTACTAACTAGAGCATACAAAACATTTGCTACACCAATACTCGAATACAGCTCATCAGTCTGGAACCCACATTACGTATCTGATATTAACACAGTTGAGAAAGTCCAGAAATATTTCATAAGAAGAGTTTTTCACTGCTCTACTCATTGTACAATATCTTATGCCACCAGACTTGAAATTCTAGACCTAGAAAACCTTGAATTACGCCGTCTTCGGTCTGATCTAAGTGTGGTATATAAAATCATACATTGCAATGACTTACCTGTCAACGAATACTTCAGCTTCAACCATAACAACACAAGAGCAAACAATAGATACAAACTCAAGGTTAACCGCACCAAACTTGATTGCAGGAAATACGACTTCAGCAACAGAGTGGTCAATGTCTGGAATACTCTGTCTGACTCTATGGTTTCTTCCCCAAACCCCCAAAACTTTAACCTTAGACTGTCTACTATTGACCTCACACCTTTCCTAAGAGGTCTGTAGGGGGCGTGCATAAGCGCACCAACGTGCCTACCATCCCAGTCCTATTGTTTCTTTTATTTTTCTTATATGTACCCATTTTATGTATTCATAACTATGTATATACTTATCCCTATTATTTTGTAAGAGATTGACAAATCAAATAAATAAATACATCTCCTATTCAGACACATTTCAGTTAGGCTATACTTTGCTGTCATTCTATAGTTACTAATAGAACACTAAATAACTTGAAATAGGATTGAAGGACTTTTGTCTCTGATATAGATCTACCAAACATAGTCATTAGCAGAAATCCTGGTAGTTGTGCTCTTACAACCATTCTTTCAAGATGGAAAGTTTTGCTCAAGATTTTTTTTAAACAAGTCTAGAGCAGCGGTTGCCAACCAGTGGGCCACGGCCCACTGATGGGCCAAGGAAAATTTTTGGTGGGTTGCAGAAGAAATGGCTCCCGAAAGCAATAATCTGGGCCACGCAGTTCTTGTGCCTCTGGCTCTTTGAGGGACCCTGGAGTCAGGTCCCTGAGATGCATGCACCAACCACCTTCCCCACATGGTGGGCGGCAACAACAACAGTACCCTCCACCAGTGGCCACTGTTAGCTCTCCCCATTAGTTCTCTAGTTTTGAATTGCTCCCGCCTCTCTCTCTTTGCTTCCCCTCCCCCTGTGCCCACTTGCTGGCAGGCAAGGAAAGGGAGATGGAGTCGTGTGCAGCTGTCTGCTTTTCCAACCCTCTCTGCCTCTCCCAACATCGAAACCTCGGAGATGCAGGCAAAGCTGCCACAGCGGTAGCACCCTGAGTTGCTTGCTTCTCCATTACTGCCTCCTCCTCCTCCAGCACCTCTTTCTCTCTGGGTAGGGCAATTCTGAACTAACCGAGCATGCTAAGGCAACTCGGGTGCTACTGCTGTGGTGGCTTTGCCCTGCTGAGCATAGAAACCCAGGAGGCTGCCGGTGCTAAGCAAACCCATGCCCCCTGCCCACCCCACCCACCCCGCCTGAGCTGAGGACGGAGCAGGCCTCCAGCAGGTGCCCAGTGGGTAAGTAATCCAGGGCTGCATGAGGTTGGGAAGCTCAGGCTGGTGCCCAAGCGGGATCAGAACCCAACAGCCAATCACAGAGGCCATCTGTGATTAAGAATTCCAAAATGTGGGAGGGGGGTGGCGAGAGAGATAGAGAGAGAAGGTGAAAAGAGAGGAGGTGGGAGAGGCTGGTTGGCCTGGGGCTTGCCGGGAGCAGAAGTGCATGTAGGAACCCAGCCCCAGCCTGGCTCCGTGAGAGGAGCGAAGGCACCAAAGAGCGTCTGCCACAAAGACCAGAAAGAAGCTCTGTACACCTCCCAATTGGTGACAGATGTGGGAGTGCTTAAGGCCAGATGACTCTGGGGGAGAGTAAAGCAAAGGAAATGGAGCCTCCTCTGAAGGATTTCTGGGCCTGGCACTGTTCCAGTCCGGGCCCTCGAGCATAGTTGGGAGAAAGCCTATCTCCGCCAAGCACCAGCAATTACCAGCAAGGGGCATTGCCGAGAGGACGCCATGTAACATGGACAGCTGGAAAGAGGCCCGGAAGCAGCAGGAAGCAGGAAGAGAAGCATGTGGGGGGGCCTCCCCTGGCTAAGCAAGTGAGGGAGAGAAGTGGGGAGGGGGTAAAGCGAGGGGAAGGCAAATGCTGCCTGGTCAGAAGGGCGCCCAGCCACCAAGGTGATTTCCTTTCAATTCACCAATAAAATTGCTTCCCACCGCTTCGAGTCTTATTCAAATGCCAGTCCTGGCTGACTTCTGACTGTTAAAAACAGACCAGTGGAGTCCCCTGCTAATATGAGAGATGCTGTCTCTCTCTCTCCCCACTCACCCTAACTCAACCATAATTTCAACTGGGAAACTGTCAGCATTTGGCTAAACTAATTCCAAAAATATGAGGGAATTCCTCAAAGTTTAGTAGACAGATAAGTCAGCCGTTAACAAGCACATAGAGATAAGCAACATTTATACACTATTCCCAAAGAAATAATAAAAAAGCTGAAAAAAGGAAACAAAACTACCAAAAAACTATTGCAATGCACTCTACACGGGGCTACCCTTGGACAGTATTTGGAGGCTCCAGCTGATGCAGAGAACAGTGGTGCAGACAGTTTTGGGGTCCCCAAGAATGGCCCTTGCACTACTCTGTGAGCTGTAGTGGTTGCTGGTCTTTGGGGTACAATTCAACGTATTGCTGATTGTCTTTAAAGTTATTCATGGCATGGGTCCACATTACCTGAGGGATCATCTCACTCCATTAGGATTGGCCCATCCCACTCGTGCCAGCAGAGCAGGCATGCTGTGGGGCTCATCATCAGCCTAATTATTCTAATTGGTGGAGTCCAGGAAAGAGGGCCTTCTCTGCTGTTATTCCTGCCCTCTGGAACATCTTCAGAGTCTTTTTATATAGAGGCTGTGTGAAGCATGGTGCTGTTGCAGAAGTGGGTTCCATATTGGAAATGACCACAATTCTCACAATATGAGAAATGTGATCGCTGTCAAAATGGTGCCCATTTCTGGGATGGCATTACACAGCTTTTCTGTATGGAGGCCTCAGGCGCACTGGCTAGTTCTTTTTCCTAGACTCCGTATAGAAAGTTGAAGACTATCTATAAAAATACATATTATCTTGCCAACATTCCATATAAATGTATTTAACAACATACATGGGAAAGGAAAGACGAAAATTTATTCAGTTGCCTATCACGAACTCTTTGGTGTATATGTATGTTTGTATGCATCAATTCCATATCCATGATAACTAATTTCTCCCCATACAGCACAAAGTCATGCAATTTAGAGGCATATTACAAATAGGTTCTCTTGAAGAAATTTAAAAAGTATTATAATAGAGTTTAATATTTTTCTTATTTAACTATTTTGATGTAAAATTCTTTTTATTTTATTTATTACAACAAATCTAATAATGATAACACACTTGAAAATTAATTGGAATTTTTATATTTCAGATGAAACAGACAGGCAGTGATGGCTACAATCCCACCTCTGTAGCGGAATGGCTAGATTCCCTGGAACTGGGAGATTATATCAAGCCCTTTTTGATAAATGGCTATACATCAATGGACCTTGTAAAGAAAATATGGGATATTGAATTAATTAACGTAAGTTGATCCATTTTTTTCTTTTTAATACATCTCAGTTGTAATTCTAATGGATGAAAAATGTTTTACTTTTTCAACATAGTGTGGTTAATGACCTATCTGTGTTCAGAAAACGCTGAGGCTCAGCTATTCAGAACTGCTTCTTCTATTTAAGCAGATATGCTAAGCTGGGGTAGGGAAACTTGGCTCTTTTATCACTTATGGACTTCAGCTCCCAGAATTCCTGAGTGAGCCATAAAAGGTTCCCCATCCCTGGCCTACTGGTTTTTCAGTTGTGGGGGAAATCAATTTTTGACTTGAATGGGACTGTTTAATATACAAATGTAGGACATATTACATTTATATTAATATATTAAACAGTATATTAAACAGTCCCATCCAAGTCAAACATTGATTTCCCCCACAACTGAAAAACCAGTAGGCCAGGGATGGGGAACCTTTTATGGCTCACTCAGGAATTCTGGGAGCTGAAGTCCATAAGTGATAAAAGAGCCAAGTTTCCCTACCCCTGTGCTAGGCTGTTCCTGCTAACCCAGCTCTCCAATGTCACATCGTTTTTTTCCATTCAGTCATGTACAGTTCTTGAAGACTATCTAAACAAGTCAGTGCACTTTTCTTAGCAAGATTTTTCAGAACTGACTTGCCATTGCTTTTTTCCTAGGGCTGAAAGAAACTGACTGGTCCAAGGTCACCCTGCTGGCTTACTTTTAGCTGCGCAGAAACATATTCACACCAGGACATATTGCATTCTTGTCACCAAAAACACTTTCTTGTTGCCATTTTACATAAGCATACATGTGTATGTGTGTGTGCGTGTGTGTTTGTGTGTGTGTGTATGTATACTGTACAATACACACACACACTTTATTTTGTATATTTATTTTTTACTCACAGATAGAGTTAGTATCTCAGATAATATTCAGCTGAAAATTTAAATGTGGATTTGAAGACTAATTTCAGAGATACAATAGCAACATTGTGTTGATATCAAACAGTATCAAACAAAACAAAAACAAGCTTACTGGGACTATCTGGATTTTAATTGGAACAATTTAGTTTTTTAGTGGTAAGTCATACATTTGTACTGGCCTTGTTTGAAAGTATTAAAAAATCATTTTGTGTCTCTCTTTTGAAAGTTTAGGGAAATCATATTAAGAGTAACAGTTTATAGCAGAGTAGAAAAATGTCTACCATTTCTATAAAAGTCTTTCTCCTGAAACAGATGACTATTCAATTTTTTGGGACAATGTATTCAAATGAGCGGATTCTAGAAGAATGTATTTTGCTCTTTTCTTCTGACCTGGAGAATTTCTTTTATGAAAAATTCTACTTTTGATATATTGAGAAAAAATGTAACTACCTAACGGAAAAAAGCAATCTTCTTGTTCTACTTGCTACTACTCTCCTAATTATCCCAAATGATATTTTCAGGTTAAGAACCAAAAATTAATTGTACAATCATTTATTGTACTTCAGATATTCCTTCAGGTATGGGGAAATTATCATGTAAACAATGAATAATTTATGATAAATCATGTTATTGCTTAACAATTTATTACAGGGTTAGTTTATATGAGCCATCCAATCAACCTTGATTCCTGGAATCTGTCTGGACTACTTTTTTTTTACTCTACTTTTTGGAAGTAGTTTGCTATTACCTTCTTCTTTCTGAGTATAAGAGGGAATGACTGGTCACCCAGCTAGCTTTGGCAGGATTAACCCTCAGAATATCCTGGCCTCTATTTTAGTGGTTTTTAACCATTATATCAAACTGGTTCTCAGATGATGTTGCTTGAGCATCATAGTTACACTGAAAAAATTTACCATCTACAACTTTCTTCTTTTGTTTTTAAGCGAATATGCTAGCATACAATCATATCTAAATTACTGATCACATTTTCCCATTTTCTATGGTATTTCACCTATACTCCTAGGCAGGGTGGAGTATAAGCTCCATTTCATGCTAAATAAACTAAATTATTAATGTATCTTAAGTAGAAAACTATTTTTAGATAGATTTTTACTCCAAAAGCAGTTTATTAAAATAAATTTGATAAAAATTTTTAAAAAAATCACAGTTTAAATCACGATTTAAATCACTAGTAAAAAGGCTTGATTTAAATCAACTCAATTTAAATCATAATTTTTAAAGAGCAACTGTCATCTCTGTCCCACAGCAGCTCCTCCTCTGACCCACTGTTGACTCACCAACAGTCCCATTCACTTTAATGGGATGGCTGGCAGTGATACAATAAGGTGAGGAATGTGGCAGGCAGCAGAGGAATGGATGCCCAGTAACAGACGCCTCCATGATGGATCTGAAATGACAGGTGCTCTTTAAATGTAAGGACTCATTCTTGTTGGTAGTTAGAATTTTTAATATTATTGTTTGCAAACAAAATGAAGGTTTCCTATTTAGCTTGCAGAACTTGGGTTCATTGAATGAGTTTACCAAAAATGTAAATATTGCAGAATATACAGCTTCATGCTACATAACTAAGCTCCATTTCATGCTAAATAAACTAAATTATTAATGTATCTTAAATAGAAAACTATCTTTAGATAGATTTTTACTCCAAGAACATTTTATTAAAATAAATTTGATAAAAATAAAAAAAAATCAGATTTAAATAAAAAATCTGACTTAATTTTTTAAAAAACTCTGTTCTTTTTTTAAAAAAATTAAAGTCATCAATTTTTATCCAACCGGTTTCCAGTGCTCGCCCATATGCAAGTCCGTCCTTTTATTCAGTTGTCACAGCTGCCGCCCATGATGAGGATCAAGGCCCTCTCCTCCCAAGTAGACCACGTCTCTCCCTTATCCTCTCCTCCCTGCATACCCTAGGATAGATAGGAGATGGGCCTGGATCCTCCTCTGACTGCTCAGCCGGCCTCTGCCCTTTCCCAGCCTCTTCCACAACCTCCGGAGCCACACTTCCACTCCCTGTCGGCTGTTCCTCCTCTCCCTCAGAGTCAGTCTCCACCAGGGGCATGACAAAGATAGTATACACTATCTTAAGCATCTATATATAAAAAGTGGAATATAAATATAACAAATAATCATAAACAGAAGAAGAGGACAGTAGGAGATCACTACCAACATAAGTCAGAAGATTCCAAAAACAGAAGATAGTAAGGCCCATTATCATATGCGTTAATTAGACTGTTGATCCCTCAAATGCCTAGAAGAAAATGAAACTAGATTCTAGGAACAATAGTTAAGGGCATCTGTCTAAATTTCTTAAACATAAATACTATATTCCCATAGGGCGTCTAGAAAAATTAAGTTCTAAAAGAGTCTAAGCCAAAAGACATCCATCCTCAGCATTTCAAATTGTGCACTAGTGATGTGGGAACTGTGCTACACATTTGCATTAGGCCTAACTTGTGGTTATATGCATATGTATGCAAACAATATGTAACTATTGAAGCTGGGTCTAAAAAACAATAACAAAATGTTTGCTTTTTTGTTTTACTTCACCATTGATTAAAAATATATTTGTCTGTGCTTGTCCCTGAATTTTTTAAAAATAAAATTTCTCCTGATACATATGTTCTGAAATTTATTTTTATTTCCTTCTTGATTTATGTAACTGAAAATTTGCTGAAAGAACTATTGACTTGCATTTAAAAGTGCTGACATCTTTAAAGATCACTAAAGAAAGTGATTTTTTTTCCACCAGCATATTTCAAAATTTTATTTTTTCTTACTAGAATCAAATCCAAGCCTAACTGTCCCTTTAAATAGGCTCCTATTCAAGCATCCTAAATCTAAAGAGATAATTATAGGTGGAATTAATCTATCCACTAGACTTTGATCTTTATACACAGCATTCAGTCTGAAAAAATTAATTATAATAACAATTTCAAAAGACAATTCTTTATAGACAATCTAGGAATAATACGAAATAATGTATAAAAATATTTTTACATATAAAAGAAGTAGGATCATATATTATAACGCAACCAAATGCTAATGAGTGCAGAGGACAAGAGAATTAGACATAAATGCATAGTACTTTAAAACACATTTGTTATATTTTAAAGAAACTTTTATGTGAACTTGATTTTTTCTTGATTAGATGGAACCTCACATATGTATATGCTTTATATACTTTCATAGTACATAGCTAAAACTTGTGTTGCATTATAAGAAATTTATTTAAAGAAAATTATTGTAGAAATAATTAAGAGAAATCCCCCAAAGCTAGTTTTACTCTGCTTCTGCAATATATCATACGTTAATACCAATTGGGTGCTGTACTGAATGGTTTATTGTTTCCTCTAAATTTGTGTTAATCTACAAAGACTGAAAGAGCAGACAAAATTCCCATTCTGTCCATATTGTCTCTGTTTTCTTCCTGAAAAAGAACTTCTTGGAAATTCAGCACATTTGGGGGTTTGCATTTAAAGCTATTCTTAGGATAAAGTAATGCTACATAGTTAAATGCTGTTAAAGAAACAGGATGTATCACCTTTTCAATGTACACTACATTAGAAGCAGCCAGTTTGAAATTCTAGTACCCTAATTTGGAAATAAGCTTGACTAGAGCCTTCCAAATAAATAAACATAATAGATTAAAATATTTAGTCTCATTCTCTAAATTTTTTATTGATACAAAGAATTTAAAGAAAACTAGCTGTCCCAATTCCAGATGACAAAGCTTCAGAGTATAGAAATAAATTAAATGAAAATAGATATTTGGTGATATATTGTATGCTATTAAGGATATCAATTACATGTAAAACAATACAAGTCATCTATCTGCTGGATTGTTCCATAATAAAAATAAAATAAAAGGACTGACATTGTTTTATAGACATTAACATTCTGGATTATGACAGTGCATCATGACATTGTATCAGTTGAAGCTCACATTGCCCAGTGGCATGGCTTTTTCTAAGCCACATTGCTCAGTAGTGTAGTCCAGTCTGGAGCTAAGAGCTCTCTCTGGACAGCTGGATCATATCTGGCAAGGGGGAGTTTGGGGAGATGAAAA